TCTTCTTCTTCTTCTTCTTCTTCTTCTTCTTCTTCTTCTTCTTCTTCTTCTTCTTCTTCTTCTTCTTCTTCTTCTTCTTCTTCTTCATCCAGCGTCATGTTTTGTTATAGGTCTGCGCAATAGCCACGGACGCCTGCCTGGACGCGGGAGGGGATTAAGTTACTGCTGCTGGCGGCGGATTATTTTATTGGCCTCCTGTCACGCCTGCCACCAGCCTTTGGTGATCCTGTTTCCAATTAAGCACGATCGCTGAAGAAAAAAAGGGGAAAAAACAGGTACGTTACTGTCCTCTAAAATATGGTAGCGTTCCTCTTTAAAAAACGTCTCACTATTGGTTTAACCCCGCTGAAACGCCCATCCTTTGTTGCTCATTCCCTGAGTCACTCTTTGCATGTCGAGATGCTGTGTTTGAATACATCTTTATTAACAATTGGAAAACAAACATGGGAATTGACGCAAACCCGGTGATGTTGGAGGAAAACCCTAACATAAAGCGGGACATTGAAGGCTTTTGAAGCAATAGCGTCCTCATTTGCAAATTATGCACAACAATGCTTTGCATGAGTATTTCTATCTCTTGAGCTTTTTCTTTCTGCCACGCTACAGCCACGATTTGTTTTCCATAGAAATTTAAATTGCGAAACGGAACAATAAATGGATTTGTTGGAGTAGGTAGGTCAGAGTAGCTCAGACACGGGCAGATCGGTTGGAGAGGGACGTCAACTTTAAATCTTGCCACAGCTTTTTGGGTGTAGGTCTAGGCTTTGACTAGACCTTTCTATCACACGCGCAAGCTGTCCACTGAAGTTCTGGCTGTATGTTTTAGGGTTTATGGTTCTGATCTCAAAGCTTTTGCGTCTTCTAAAGCGCCACCATGCTTTAGTGTGTGAACTGGCCAGGTATGGGTGCTAGTTTCTAAATGTAGGTCAGAAAGTTCAAAGTTGTTGTCATTTATCCGGAGCATCTTCTTCTTTACGTTTGCTGTCCCTCTACATTGCCTATTGCAAATTAACAGATTCTCCCAGCTGGTGGATAACCAAGAGTTGATGGGTTTTACAGTTCTGCTGTAGTCTTCTATCTTCAGCCCTCCGTGTTCAAAGTTTGGGAAATTGCTTTCCGATTTAGCCACCCATCCATTGTCTATACCCACTTCTCCTTACAAGGTTGCCAAGAGATTGTTGCAGAGCTGGGGTTCAGTAGTCATTGGGTAAAAAGTGGAGACATTTTATTTAGGGGTATTACACTAAAAAGATTTTAATACAAATGTACACCTTGTCACTCATAATTCTGCCTTACTTCATGTCGACCCATCACAGAAAAACCTCATTATATAAAAACCTTCCAGGTGTGTGTCTTGTGATTCACTGCAGACTTCCTCCTTCCTGTGCACTTCGCGAGCCATAGAGCATTCGCTGGATGTCAGCAGCTTCCACTGCCCAACCCCTCTCCCCTTCCTCCGTCCCAGCATGTTTTGGTCCGCTCGTGCCGTTTTTGTCCACTCAGTCTTGACTGTACTTTCCCAGGACAAAGTCTAAGCTCGAAAGAATTCGCCTGATGTTTTGATAGCCCTGTTTTCTCCCTCGAACAGCCATTACTTAAGAGTTTTTTTCAAATACAGGCGTCAAACTGCGGTCATTTGGGGCTGGCCTTCTGTAACTTTTAGATGTCCCTCAACTGAATCAAATAATCAGTAAATAATAAATATGAATAAAATAATTAGTAAATATCTAAAAGTTGAAGGGTATGGGACCTTGAGGACAGGAATTTGACACACAGGGCTTTACAATGTCACAAATTGACTTTTTATTTATTTATATTTATATATATATTACACAAAGAATGGCCTATGCTTTCAGCTTTAGCTTTTAGTTAATGTAAATAGACATCTTGGCCTTAACCCATTTCATAAATCTGTATTCCTCTGCAATTTCTCTACTTTCTTATCAAATATATTTAACATGTTGTCATTCGCTTTTATACAAAATAGCATGTAACAAAAGGAGACGGCATCTCTGGAGTATTTTTCTTTAGAAAGTATTCATTTAGATGCACAACTACAAATGCATACAAACACAAATTTTATTTGAAATCAATAGCAAATTAAATAAAATAAAAACAATTCTGAAGACCTATTTGCTTTTATATAATACATATATATATAATACATAAAATTCCCTTCTCACCCACCGCGGGTGGTTCTTATCCTCTGAGCTCGGGTCCTCTACCAGAGGCCTGGGAGCTTGAGGGTTCTGCGCAGTATCTTGGCTGTGCCAAGGACTGCACATTTCTGGACTGAGATGTCTGATGTTGTTCCTGGGATCTGTTGGAGCCACTGCTCCAGTTTGGGGGTTACTGCCCCGAGGGCCCCGATGACCACAGGCACCACTGTGGTCTTCACCTTCCAGACCCTCTCCAGTTCTTCCCTGAGGCCCTGGTATTTCTCCAGTTTCTCGTGCTCCTTTTTCCTGATGTTGCAATCACTTGGTATTGCTACATCTACCACAACGGCTTTCCTCTGATGTTTATCCACTACGACAATGTCTGGTTGGTTCGCCATTACCATTCTGTCTGTCTGGATCTGAAAGTCCCACAGGATCTTAGCTCTGGCGTTCTCCACCACCTTTGGGGGTGTTTCCCACTTTGATCTCGGGGTTTCCAGTCCATATTCTGCACAGATGTTTCTGTACACTATGCCTGCCACTTGGTTATGTCGCTCCATGTACGCTTTCCCTGCCAGTATCTTGCACCCTGCTGTGATGTGCTGGACTGTCTCAGGGGCCTCCTTGCACAACCTACACCTTGGGTCTTGTCTGGTGTGGTAGATCTGGGCCTCTATTGCTCTGGTGTTTAGGGCCTGTTCCTGGGCGGCCAGGATGAGGGCCTCTGTGCTGTCCTTGAGTCCAGCTTTTTCCAGCCATTGGAAAAAAGAAAGAAACGTGTATATATATATATATATATATATATATATTCATACTGTGAAAAAACATTAAATTCAAACATTTAGTAAGATTACATTCTGCAGACAGTGGAATAAAAAGTAGCTCACATTTTAACAAATGAAATCACATAAATTAATGTTTCCACATTTTTCCATTGCAACAGTATTTTCCTCATCCATCCGTCCGCAGGGATGTCTTTCCGTCGAGGTGTGGTCCGGCAGAGTAAATTTCGCCACGTCTTCGCTCAGGCCTGGAAGGCCGAGCACTGCCTCGACGACGTCAGAGTGTCCCGGGTGACATGGGACGGCCCCCTCTGCGCGGTCAACCCCAAGTTCATCGCGGTCATCATCGAAGCGGGGGGAGGAGGCGCCTTCCTCGTCGTTCCGATTGGCAAGGTTTGACCTTCTGCATTAGCATCCTGTATCCGATAAAACCACGGATCAATACGTTTCTTTCAAGCCAAAAGCTTCTCTATGAGATCACTCTTTATAGCCCACTAATGCATGCGAAGCACTTTTACGCCGTTCTGTAATGCCGCCTTTCCGGTCAGTGGAGTTGAGCTTTTTGTTTCCTGCAAACAGAGCGGCAGAATCGACCAGTCCTGTCCCACTGTCTGCGGACACGCGGCGCCTGTGTTGGACATCCAGTGGTGTCCTCATGATGACAACATCATCGCAAGTGCCTCAGAGGATTGCACAGTGAAGGCAAGTGTTCACGTGGAGGTGGTTTGTGGCCCTTTATCAGCTGGTTAGAGAACAACCACTGGCATCTTTTAATACCGCAAGTTAACAACCTGGTTTTAAGATATACAGTTATTGTAGGCTTTTAGAGGTTTTCTTAGATATTTGTTTTCCAGTCTGGAATCACTTTGCAGCAGTCGACGCTTTTTAGAGACAACATTTGGCTGCAGAAGTTGGAATTTGTTGTTGCTTTATTTCATCTTCACATTGTCAAAACTGCACATGCAGGCTCAAATATATACACATGCAGTCGCCAAGTCTTATAGTAAGTGACCTTTTAACTGTTAACTTGACAAGGGCAGGTTTGATGAGTTGAGGCAAATATTGAGCTGTTTAACCGGAAATCTTTGGAGGATTCACAGTGAGATTTTACAAACTTAAGAACACAATGCAAACTGCCAAGTATGGTGATGATTTACTTCATATACACTGGATGCTAAACCTCCAAAATCTTCAGCTCAAATCAACAGCTGGAACTCTGACAACTTTACAATTCTTGTTTTTAAAATGCCTTCATGGTGTACGTCATATGTACGAACTTGGATAAATTATTTTGAGCCTCAAGGTAACATCGCTCTAAAATGTTGTTGCAAAATGGACAGTTGCACACAAAATAAAATATTATCCACTTCCGCAAGGAAAACAGATAAATGATTTTATTTTTGCTTTAGAAAAGAAACAATGTCATCAGAGGGCAAGACAAAAAAAAAAAAAAAATTTAGAGTTTGTTGTGTCATTCGAAGGTGTGGCAGATCCCCGATGGCGGGCTAACCAGTCCGATGACTGACCCGATTGTGACCCTGGAGGGCCACAGTAAAAGAGTGGGAATCCTGGCTTGGCACCCTTGTGCCTTCAACATCCTATTGACTGCAGGTAGGATAATTTTTTACTATCCAGTTCTCATTAACTACGGCTGAAAGCCCCTGATAAGGAAGTATTTTTCCATAGCTTACTTATAGGTTATTCATCAACCAATAGGGACTCTTCCTCCTCTCTGTGTACTGGAGCGACATAACTCCTCAACCAGCCACTGCTGAAATCAGTAGCTGCGTTCTTGTAGCCATTCCTCAAAGATTAACACAAATCCGCCTTACTCTCAGATTATGTTCTCTTCTGCATTCTCCAGACTGAAACTATTATATATTTGTCATATTTGGTTTTGTTGCACTTATAATAAACATACAGTTGCTTAAAATAAGCATATTTGTCCATCCGAATTCTGATAATAGTATTATAAATGCAAAAGTATTCTACTGAAGTAAAGTAAGAACATTTTTAATCACGATTCAATGTAAAGGTTAAATTTTGCTCAGTTTTTTTACTGTAAGGTTGTTCTGCTGCAATCCAAACTTTTTCATATTTATCTTATGTCTTTTTTAAAAAAAATACAATTTATAAATAGACTTTTCTGTATCTTTGCATGAGTTCTGTAGAAAGTGAGATTTGAGGAGCTGCTCTTCACTTCCTGAGGTGGTGTTCAGTGACAGCAGCCAGGTCCAGTACTGATGCATAATGAAGGCGGGGAATAGGATTTCCCCTCTTAGGAATTTATTAACATGTAGTGAGATTAAAGGAGAACGTAAGTAACCTGACAAATAATTACAGTTTTAAGCACATGCCAGAGCTGCCAGATTTTGTTTTGTTTGAAATCTGTCCGAGTACCTCGAGCTTTGGACATGGCGAGCCTCCTCCTCGCTCATTCGATTTCGTGGTTTCTGCTCTCAAGTGTCCATTTGAATTTTGCCTCCTTGAGCATGGTGATGAAATTCCAGAAATATATTTCAAAAAACAGTTTGAACTTTCATACAAAATATTATCGCGTGTGTATTTCACCGCAATGCTTCAAAGACGAGAACGTTTGCCTCGACGCCCCGTCTTTTGATTTGAGCAAGCTTCTTTGTCGGCCGTCTGTCCAGGCTGCGATAACGTGGTTTTTGTGTGGAACGTGGGCACGGGCGAACTCGTGTACCAGCTGGCCGACGCCCACCCGGACCTGATCTACAGCGTCGGCTGGAATAAGGATGGCAGCGCCGTGTGCACTGTGTGCAAGGACAAGGCCCTGCGCATTATCGACCCACGTCGGGGCGCTGTCCTGAAGGTAGCTTCACGGTTTCACGTGTATATTTATATCTGCGCGTGTTGGAAACATTTGTATCATTACTCATGTTGTGTGTTGAGTCTGTTATCAGCCTCTCTTCCCTCCCAAAGGTCAGAGAAAAGGTCCATGACGGTACAAGGCCCATGAGAGCAGTCTTCCTCGCCGATGGGAAAATTTTGACCACAGGCTTCAGCCGTATGAGTGAGAGGCAGCTCGCTTTGTGGGACACCGTAAGTTTCCACCACTAGACTTCAGCTGTTCAGTGGAGTTTCACAGCAGAAAATGTTGTTTTACAGGATAGTTTGCTAATTTTATGACGGTTTAACACCAAGCTTCATTTTATTTTATTTTACATGATAGACCAACTCAGAGTGGCATATAAATTAGAAGGAGATGGAAAATGATACATGGGTTTACTTTTTTTATTATTATTTAATTAGGCGCATCTGCGTCAATGTTGTGTTGAAACACTTTTTACTACTTTAAGTATTTTCTGGTATGTCTCTAACATCTAGAAGTCGGTACCCTATCTTTCCTTTTGTGTGAAACAACTCAGACTCCTGAGACTCGGCACAGAACATCCATCTTTTGTTCTCATTCGTAATGTTCTCCTTGCCTGACATAGACATAGATAGCTATGTTCCGGTAGCTGTCTACCAAAACAGAGCCATATGATGGCACAATTTCCACCATATGGAAATTGTGCCATTTCCATATGATGGACTGATAAGAGATATGTGAGACGTTCAAAGTTTGAGATTTTCTTTTAGTACACCTCCACGACTTTCTCCCAGACCTGTCTGCTTCACAGTGCTGTTTGTTCACTGATGTCCTCTGAAAAACCTCTGAGGTCTTCACAAAAAAACACTCAAGTTGTACTGAGATTAAGCTACACACAGGTGGTCTCTGTTCACTAAATGGGTGACTTTGTACTTGAGAGCTGTGTGGCCTTTGCCTTCCACCTCCAAATTAAACAACACTTTTGTAGTTGTAATCTTTAACAGAAGTGACTACCCTTTGCAAGCTAATGTGTTAGATGTGTTTTTTGTTTTACAGAAAGATCTCTCTGAGCCGATGGCTGTACAAGAAATGGATACAAGTAACGGAGTCCTTCTTCCCTTTTATGACCCTGACACAAACATGGTCTACCTATGCGGAAAGGTAAACGCATAACAAATGCAGAATGTAGCCTCGCATCCATTTTCAAGCAAGTCAGTTTGATTTCTCTTCGTTTCAGGGGGACTGCACCATTCGGTATTTCGAAGTGACAGACGAGTCTCCCTACGTTCACTTCCTGAGTTTATACAGCAGTAAGGAGCCTCAGAGAGGTGCAGGGTTTCTTTGTAAAAGAGGCGTGGATGTCAACAAGTGTGAAATTGCCAGGTTAGCTCTTTAAATCTACTCATATTTTTGCTGTAATCATTTGGAATATTATGTTTAGAATATTCTGCAGAAACAGGTATATGCATTTCACTGGAGGCATCATACAGCACACTGCATTTGTAGCTTTAGTGGTAAAGATTTTGTAAGAAGCATTAAAGTGTTTAATCTTTTGAACTTTGACTGAAAGTTGTTATCCTGACATGCCTCTCAACGAACTGGTTAGCATGTGGATCGCAAACTACATTGAGGATGTTAAGGTGACTTGATGTAACATACAGCTTCAGTCCTTCTTTTGCACATTTGTGATTGCTTTGAATTTTTTTGTGATTGCTCTAACTGTTAATATGCCCATCTTTAGATGAGTATTTTTCTTTGCTAGTCTCCAACTTAACACTAAGCCTGTATCGACAACAAATTTTTGCTGGATGATTAATTGCTCCAGAAGTTATTGCGATAAACAATAATATTGTTGTTTTGAGGCAATTTTTAAGTAATATAATGGCTATGGCAAAATAATAATGCAAGAACAAATTCTCAAAGAAAAGCTTTAAATTCTAATGAACTGGAAGACACATTAAATATACAAAATAATTAAATAAAATGAATTCTGACGTCTTGGTAAACAAAATTGTCCTTCAAACTAAGGGCCAGTTGAGACTAAAGCATCAAATTGAAGACTTTTATCCTTTTTTTGGTATAAAGACAAAAAAAAGAGATAAAACAGTAAATCATGCCAATGGAAATGATTTGAGTTTTTGTTAATTTATCATGCAGTTAATTTATTTATTGACTATTATGCCAGGCCTACTTAACACTCATCTGCCATTGTTATGTTAAAGTTTTTCTTACCCCAACTGACTTGATGTACTCAAATATTTGGACTGGGTATCAGTAGGACAAAAAAAAAAAACAATTAATATGAAGTAATGTCATTCCAGTAAAAGAATAATTTATTTTACTGGTGCCACTAAGTATATGGCAAGTTGTGTTACAAGGTGTTTTCTTTATTCTGCTTCTTAAATTGGTTTTCATGCCTTCCTGTTGGCTCTTGTTTGTAGATTAATGCTGTGGCCAACTTATAGTACAATCTTGGTTGCTCGTATTTTGATGCAAAAATATCGATATTGCAAAATGTCGTCATGTGGTTTACAGGGCTCTGAGCAAAATTACACAATTATCACATCAAACTTAATCTACTTCCTGAAAGATAGTCAAAAGTTGACTTAGGGTGTATTTATGCCACTTGAAAGTACATAGAGTTTCCACTCAACCTCACATCTAGTGTAAGACGGAACTATTAAGATTATTCAGATCTGTTATTACTTTCCTGTTAACCTGCAGGTTCTACAAGCTGCACGAAAGGAAAGTGGAACCCATTTCTATGACTGTACCACGTAAAGTAAGTCACACACACATGGCCTTTAAAAGAATGTTACTTGGATTAATGAACAGAAGAAAAAAAAACACTTTTTCTCGCTGTGTTTCAATTTTTGCCCCACCAGTCAGATCTCTTCCAGGGAGACCTTTACCCAGACACTGCAGGCTTGGAGCCGGCTCTGCTGGCAGATGAATGGATCGCCGGACAGGACGCAGCACCTCTGCTCGTCTCTCTGAGCGGAGGGTACGCGGCTCCTCCCTCCAAACACAGAGACACCCTCAGAAGCAAGCCCAAGCCAAGCTCTCAGGACTCCGGGGCCGGGGGCGCCGCCACAGCAGCAACCGTAGCAGCCGCTCCCACACCTATGCCTACCTCTGCCGCCAAGGAAATGGAAGAAGAAACGCCGCAGCCACGAGTGACCGCAAGGGAGACAGATGGAAATACCGAGAGGCCGAGGAGAGAGGTAAAGATCCTGTCCCAATACTTTAAACCGTCTGCACAGACAATCATCTTTATGCTCTCGTAACTGTTTTCTGATCTGTTGCTCTTCTCTGATTTAGGATGAAATGTTGAGTGAATTGTTAGCAGAGATGAAGGCCTTACGGGCAGTCGTGCTCGCTCAGAACCAGAGAATCGAGCTGCTGGAGAGGCAGCTCGCCCGGATTGAAGACGGCGACGTGTGAGGAGGCCTAAAACTCATCGAGTTCCTGAAGAAGCTATAGACTGTAGCCTTACTAGTCTTAACAATAGCTTAATGCTTTGTGAGTGTAAAAACTGTGTGTAAATACTGTGACTGTGGGTTCCAGCCGTTATGATTAAGGCTGTATCCCAAATGATTTTTCTTTTTAGTAAATATGGTGTCATCTGCATAGAGTGAAATTTATAGGAAAACTAAAGGATCTTGTAGCAGTTATTGGATCTTGCAACTTTGAGCTTTTTTAAAAATTAATGTTTTGATTCTGCAAGACTTGAGGAGTCACAACAGTGGTTCCCAATGTGTGGGGCACGCCCCCTAGTGGGGGCACAATGCCATTGGAGGGGGGCTCGGGAAGCGGTTTGGATAAATGGAAAAAAAACAAAAAAACAACAGTCACACAAAAGTGTTTCACTGTAAAGATGGTTTGTAGGTTTGTTGCAACCTGAAGTGTGAAATAAACTTCAGTGGAGTTTGAAAACAAAATATGGTTATAGGTAAATATCTGGTTGAACAATGTGTGTGCCCAGTTTATTTTTTATTTTTTTATTTTTATTTTTTTGTGGGGGGGCAGCGATTTGTACCTACAGAGGGGCCCAGAAAATCTTTGGGAACCACTGAGTTACAACAATACGATTCCTTTAAATAGTAGGCATAATAGGCGTAATGTGGAATTGTGCTGACTCGGCTGAAGGTTGCCATTTTATAGCAAAGCATTTAATTACCTCCAATACGTGTGTTTTCCTGGCATGCATTCATAAATGCCACTTTTAGGGCTTATTCAGGTAGTTTGAGGTGCAAAAGTGTCAAGTCATGGCTTGACTTTTTACATGACTTGTGCTTTGTTTTCCCTCTACTTTATATAGTTTGCTCTGTTCAAATGTATGAACCTAAAATCTCAATATACAACCGTGAGAACCACGGGAGCGATAGGTGGTGAGAAAGTCGTGGAGTGTTTATGTGTAGTTTCATTCCGTGTTGTTGCAGTAAAGGAAACGGTCGAGCGCTAGTGATTTTGTGTTAAGAACTGCGGCTGTGTTTTATGGGTCACTTTGAGGTCAAGCGTTTGATTGAAATGACACATATGCATTTATAACAGTTTCAGTCAACAGAAATTTAACATGACACTATTTTCCTTTGGTTTCAGCAAAATATGCATCTGTGTTCAATTATGTGAGGCACTTTTAGTTACGTTTCTTTCATTTTAGTCGTACTTCTATGAATGTTCTTTATTTAGAGGCATTACTGTGTATTTTATGTTGCTGTCAGTTGTAGGATAACAATGTTACATTCCAGTTGAGCCCTTTAATACTTTAATTATGCACTGACCTCTTAACACTGCTATGAACAACAGGTTCAGCTAGACAATGGTGTAATGATTGACTCAACTTTGTTTCATGTTTTGTACGAAAAAGCCTTTCGGTTTACACTTCATGGTCAAGTGTTTGTGATCAGTTCTAGTTCTGATTACCTTTGGAAATACTGTGTTTGAGTGTGTTAATTGTTAAATAGATGATGAATGGACTTTGTTTTTAATCCAACTTGTCATTCTTAATAAAATATCTCATAAAATATGTGTCTGGTTAAGCTGACTGAAGGTAGAAGAGAGTATAATATATTTTTAGGTTGTAGCCTTTCCAGTGATCATTTCACCTTAAAGCTGACTGCCACTCTTAATAAAATGTCTGGTGAAACACATTATTAAGAAGAGAGTATTCAAAGAAAATGTTTAGGTCTGATTTGGTTGTAGAGAGCAAAAGTTTGTGAAAGTTCAGTGGACTGAAAAAGGGAAGTGAACAAAAATGAACACCAGAGGCAAAAAAACTTCAATTCTGGTGCTTGAAAGAAATTGTGTGTTCTGGGTTTTTTTTTTTTTTTAAGAGGCTGGAAAACATTACAAACAAATGTTGTAATATCAGTGGTCTGATAAGATGAAAACTTAGTCAACTGTGCAAAGCACTGAAATAGTTTTTAAGTTCCTTCAGCTGAAGTTTCAACGAAGAAAAGCTCTATAGGTGACCTCAAATTGAAGTAACGTTTCTAGAAATTAGTCCATTTGAAAGCTGTTGAATTTGACTAAATGCTAAAGAAACTATGCTGTCTGTGATTTTTTTATGCATATTGTCCAAATAAGAAAATTTTTTACATGTGAACAATGCAGAAAATCATCAAAAATTATGAAAGCTTCCAAAACCTTTGCAGGTTTAAAGTACAATTCTTTCATGTTAAAATTGCTTTTAAAAAATTATAGTGGGCTCAACAAAACCATCCAAATTGAGATTTAGCTTTGTGTGATTATTTAACAGGTGTACAGTGTACAGTTATTATACAGATTTGGTTAAACATTGCTGCTAAGTGCAGACAACGCGTGAGCCGGCCAGCAGTGCAGAAACAGGATGTGGCCAACACGTTTCAGAAGCTCCGCGCAATGTTTAAACTTTGCATACACTTGTAGAAGTTTCCAGTTATGCAGATGCAATATTTTTAACAACTTTCCTGAACTCAGACACCAATTCGGTCACAGGCTCATGTTGCTCGACTGGCCGTTTGTGCGAAGCATCAGAGTTGAATCGACACATGTTTTATGAACTCTGTTCTCCATTGTTGAGATTCGTCGTTTGCCACAAAACCAGACTCAACAGGATGTACACCGTTCAATTCGAAAACTGTCAGTGACTTTACAAGTTTTTTAAAACATCTTTTATGCTCTAAGGCATTTAACTGGACCTGTTCTGTCAACTTGTACTGAGAGAACCTGAAAGAGAAATAAAATCACAAAGACATGTTCCTCTTTCTATAAATATTTGTGCATTTTCATATCTGTGCCTTCCACCAAACCTAGCTGCAAGTTTGACTTTCATCTGTGCTTGCACTCCCTCCCCCAGCCTCCAACCACCTCAAACAGTTTCAGCTAATCTTTTTCTTTTTTTTTCATGTCATGCATCACTCCCCGCAGCTCTTCTTCTCTCCCTCTCATCTGCATGCATGCAGTGGCATTTCTCAAACACACCCTTACTGACATGTAAGTCTCGTCCCACCCTCATTGCCAGTCTTCGGTCTTTGGCGCCACAAACTTCAGGTTTATCTCTCCCAAGCAACTACGGTGAGTTTTTTCATCGCTTTCTGGTTCCTTTTTTTTTTTTTTTTTTAATTTTCTGCTGAAGTCTATATTTTTACACGCTTACTGTTGATCTCAAGAGTTTAATTTGTCAAACATGTGTCACTGTACAACTTTAAGCATTCCTTCTACAGCCGCTAGTTCTACGGTTTATTTAGAGCGTCTTTTTTTACTGCTTTATAACACAGTGTCTCATTGTGATCATCTAAAGTTGAATGTTTTGTGCCACAGCAGACTGACTGAGGCCTGCTCAATTATCACTTTGACAGGAAACCAGCAGCACTGAGAGGGATCTGCTGAGCTTCCTGTCTTTCAAGTCCTTGCAGACGGTGCAAAGTGCAATAGAAATAGACGTTTTGAGTATGTATAACACTGTTTGCTTTTAATTGTTTGAAATGGGAAGTAGCATTTATCCTGTGCTATTGTTCACAAATAAACAAGCTAAAAATGCAGTGCAGCAAATTAGTTAAGCATAAAATGTGGTTTCTTAAAGTGATTACATTCATTAACTGAGTTATGAGTTATAAACGATTCTTTGCTTTTGTAATTTCCCTGTTTTCTATAGGTTGTGAATGTAAACACACAGATGGATTGTCAGATGAGAAGCTCCAGGTTCCCTTGAAACTACCCGGGGTTTTTTGACTGCACACTTCAGCTGAAACAAAGGCGTTTGGGATTTTTTCACACTCAACTGAAGGTTTATTTTAAAGGTAACGTATCTTGAAAAATAACTTTAGAGTCTACTGTCAGACCTGCACGCACAACATTGACAATCATCAAATGAGGTCCAATATTTGAATTTCATTTTGTTTTAAAGCTATAAAACGGAATGAGTCAAGAAACTATTTCTTGAATTGTGCGCTGTTCAAGAAATAATTTGGAAACTACTAGGGAAAAAAGCAGCTCCTGATTTTACAATACTCATGTAAAACATATCTTTACGGTTGAGATGATTTTCTTAGAAGTTATAGACCAGGCAATGCAAAGGAGAAGCTGCTTTCATCAAGCCAAGCTGCAGGTAATTAATGATCCTCAGCCAGCAAAATCTTTCATAAACAGTTTAACAGCATGCATTGTGCCTTGAAGCGGTTGTTTTGCATCTTGGAAGGGAAAGTTTAGGAAAATGTTTGAACCTTTAATACCATACTGACAGTACATCTGTCTTGTTACTTCATTTTTAATACATTGATTTATTCCAGAGAAACTAGCCAATGTATGCAACTTAAACAATTTTCTTAAAATTTCTCAAACCTCTTCATGTTTGCATTGGTAGGAAGCAAAGTCATTTATACTGAAAATTGAGGTAGGAAGCGACGGGCCCCCAACGATATTTATATATGAAACACACACTGGAATGACACAAAGTGTTTCCAGTGAGGTAAAAAAAAAAGCAGCTTCTCTATAAATAGCCATCCAATACGAACAACAATGAAACCTTCATAAAGCAATGCTTGCACAGACTTCATCTTAATTCTAAATTAGGACAGCTTTCTACTGCAGGTATGATCTTCACTGCCTAAAACCTTTTGACAGAACACATCTTGAAAAATGTCTGACATTTGTTTTCAAAATGTTTTTAAACATTTCCAATGATTCTGTTTCTTTTCTAATCTTGAAATAGATATGCAGCGTTACCGCTTTCACCGTCATGCTCCACTTGATATGCTCAAGAAACTTTATTAGAAATTGCTTTGGGTTTATTGCAAACATAATGGACACAGAAACAGGAAAAGAAGGGAGTAAAGAATGGTAGAAAGATGGGGGAAAGTCAAAAGGGGACAAGAGTAGAGGGGGAAATGAAGCACTGAAACAACACAAGTCAGCACCCCGGTAGTATGCTTCTGAACCTGCAGAAAGCGAAAAAAACAAAACTATATTGATTACAATAACAAACAATATAATATTTTTTCAACGTAGAACTGCTACGGCGATCTTTCCTTCATCTAACACAGTTACCTTTGCTTTCTTCAGCCCCCACTTTAGATTTTATTCATTTCACTTTAATGCTTAAATTTAAATTTAAACATTTTTTGTCAAACCTAATCACTGGAACTATTACCAGCTACTTTTATTTTATTTGTTTATGTACTGCAATGGGTGCAGTACATGAGGTTTCTCCTGTTTTTAATGGGGTATCTCATTTATATACAGCATATACAATTTTATAATTCATTTATAATTTTGTACATGCATCATTTTTGTATCATACATGTTTTGTATCATACATGTTTTGTATATTTTTACCTCTATATGTTATATACAGAAAAGCAGTTCAGGTTACATATAAAAAAAGTTTAACTAACACATATAGCATTATGAATTTGAGAATGTTTCTGTACTTTGTAGCTTAAAAGGAATATGAATAATGTCCCAGTAACAAACGTTTTTTTTTTTTTTTTACAATAAATCTTAAGGTAGTTTGTGCAGCTTAATTTTCATGGTTTTAATTATTCTAAATCTTTTTCCTCTCCTCACCACAGGAAAATGGCCACCACTGCGGTGATTCTTTCTATCGTCTTGTTGGTCCTGGTTGTACTCTTGGTTTTCTTCTACAAGAAATTGAATAAGGAGGCAAATAACCAATACACAGTCCGGAACATAATATACAAGAAAGGTGGGGTCAGGGACCGGGTGAGGACCGCAGCACTTGCTGTGGAAACACGTCTTGGAGTCCAGGTGTGGCCTCGCGGACATGATGAAGAGGAAGAGATGGAGGAAATTCGGGACGAGGAGGGAGAGGTGGAGTCTGGAGACAGCCAGCACCAGAGTGACGGGAGTGACACGGACGGAGAGAATGAACAAGAAGAGGATAGTGCGGACCACAGTGGTAGCACAAAGGAGAACGAAGGAGATAACTCAGACGCGGAGAGTTCAGAAGCAGGGGAGGAAGTTAGGCTCATAGATAATAAACCAGAAGAGAATGAGGAGGTGGGGGATAACAGTGAGGAAAAGCAGGAGAAAGAACAAGGCAAAGCAGAAGCAAGCGGTGGGACGGGATTGTTGATAGACCTGAAGCAGTTTTCTGGAAGTGCCATCTGGTCAGAACAGAAAGAAGATGAGAGTCAGGGCGGTGATGTGACTGCACTGTGAAAACACGAGCAGAATCTATGAAGCAGGGAGGTGTGGAAATGGGCTTTTTATAAAGAAAAAGATCAAGGAAGTCAGAGTGGAAATCATACCATTTGAAAATAAAAATCTAATTTAGAAAACAGTGACAGCACAGCTTCAGCCTCATAATGGCACATCTTTTATCTTCATGCCTTTAGTGTTGACACATCGGGGAAAACACAATGGCTGAATGAAGCCATGCATTCAGCCATATGAATGGTTCGAAAAATGGTTTGAAAAACCATTCAAATATGCATTTAAATGGTTCTTGTAAAGTTTGTGTAAAGTTTCTCATTTTGGACTTTAAAATATTTTTTAAGAAACCAAAAGATATATGTCTTGCTTTTCAATGTAAATGGGTTCATAATATTTTCTCAGTTGAGTAGTTATTAACTCTCTGACTATATATATTGTAAAAGAGTAACAACTACTCAAAAGGTGAATATTTCATAGTTAAATAAAGGCTTTTAGTTGCTGTATTCTCTAAAGAGTGATTCTTTTTAAATAAACTTTTCAAACATCATTAAAGCTACTGGATTTTTCTTGACCAATTTTTAAAATTCTACTGTAGTGTTATTTTCATTATTACTTTTAAAAGCTATATTAACTTTGAACATGTCTTACTTTTTATTTCAGAATCTTTTTCTTTTTCTCCATTTGTTTATGTAAATTCTTAATTTCAGAAAAGTTCTTTTTAAACATATAAAATTAGAATGTAATTTTGCAGGCCCTTTTTTTAATAACTACAAACACATTTTATATTTCTATTCAGTTATTAGTTATTTCCCTCCGATAGTATTCTCTTTTTCTGTGTCACAGAAAGGTGTTACAGTAAATTACTTTTCTGGTAGCGCGGGATGATGACGTCATCGTTACTATCTTCATATCACAAAGTTGACGTTCCGTCTACCAATGGGGATGTAGCTCAGTGGTAGAGCGCATGCTTCGCATGTATGAGGTCCCGGGTTCAATCCCCGGCATCTCCACGGCTTAGAATTTTCTTTTCTTTTAGCTATGCATGATTTGTTATAATATATAGTAAAAAATTGACACTACCATTGTACGACCCTGACAAATTTGTTTTTGCGACATAAAACTAATAATCGGTATAAATATGACATCAGTTTCTGATTTGTCAGAGAGGCTCTTGGTAGACTCTGATTGGATACTGAGCGGTCTAAGAAGGGAGCGATATTAATTTCATATGCAGCTATCTTATAGTATAACAGATTAACTAATAGGCAGATCCTTAGTACAATTAAAGCGACCTTATTAATTTAGCAAATGTTCTCAGTTATCACGCATTAATATTTCGACAGTTCTGCAATTCCTCTTAAAGGCGAAGACAATGGTTGTGGAAATTCAGGATGAGTCACCGATACATAAACGTGCTTTTTTCACAATCGCAGTCAGAATATACCTGTGGCTCATTTATACGGGCTGGTGCATTCAGTTTGCGTCTTCCTCTCTCACCCAAACTTGACTGTTCTAAAGACATGATTTCAGCAGACGTCACTCATCTGCATAGGGAGTAAGATGCAACCATCCTGCGAGCAGGCTCCTCGGAACCTGAAAACCTCCGCGTCTCTGCCAGGGAAAAACACTGGGCCCGCTGATCGCTGCACACATCAGACGACAAACATGGAAGGTACACTTTGCACGGACTGTCATTGCGCGACGTGCGCTTGCATCCGCATCCAGAGGACGCATTTAGGTTGCAAGATGGATGCAAAGCCGCCTCGCACAAGGATGCACGTCGAGGCGGCTGCGGGGCGTCTTTAAATACCCCCCCACCGCCGCCAACACCTCTCGCGGTTCCTTGTCGCCCCTCTGCCCAGCTGTTATTGCGCTTGTTTGTGTTGTGTGTCTGCAGGAGGAGGATGTTACTAGCGTCCGCCGTGGTGGTCTGGGAATGGCTGAACGAGCACGGACGCTGGCGGCCGTACAGCCCGGCTGTGTGTCACCACATCGAGGCGGTCATTCGGAGCGACCCGCGGTGTGGTAGCGTGGTCCTCGGCCAAGTGGACTCTCGCCTCTCGCCCTACATCATCGATTTACATTCCATGCACCAATTCCGACAAGACACAGGTGAGAGTCGGAGGAGAGCGACTTTGGGGTGGAACAGTGGCACGGAAGCGAGAGGCCTTTTCTTATCTCTTCCCATTGTAACGCTCTTGTTTGGATTCTCTGTGAAAATTGTCTTGCGTGGATTTATCCTCTGATGATTTGATGCCTTGTTGGGTTTGTTTCCATAATGGTTTGCATAAATGGCGCGTTAACTCCACACATTGCTTTTTATTTAATGTTTTTCTTTAAAATACCCAGTTAGTATTTACATATAGGGCCCATGTGGGAACGAAATTGTCTGAAGAATGGGGCCTCAGATGGGATTACATAACACCCTCGAGTTAATTTCAAACATTCAGCATTTGTCTACATTAGAATATCTCTGAAAAGTTCATGCATTTAATCTTTCACGAGTAAGTCAAACTTTATTTATGCATGTTGATGATAGAGGTATTTAAATCCATTATGATGATCAGGAAAAAAAGTGAAAGAAAAACAGATTTCAGATAAAGAAATATTCTTCTGTAGCCATGTGGCCATTCTTCTTCAAATTCACTGTAAATACAGAACGCTACAAGAAGCCTCTCCTGCCAACATGCATCACTATTTACAATTACTCTGTGAAGGATTTGAATCTGAGGTGTGCCGATTTGAAAGGCCCATGTAAACAAAATCTAAAAAAAATCTAATGTTGAAGCTAAATTCAACAGTCATGAGAGAAATAATATGTCAGATAGTTATTTATTAACGATTTCAGAATCTGATGTTTACACGCAGAGTCGAGGAAGAAACGTCAAGGTGAGGCTGTCGTGGCTTTGGGCACTTCTGACAGGAAAATTGACACATTTGAGTTAAGTGGAGGAACGCCTGTGGATGTATTTGGTCTAAAATGAGCAGTGTCATTGCCCACAGTGAAATGTATTCTGAATCAACATGCACTGAAAGGCCACACAGTGAGAAGGAAGACATTACTTAAAAAGGAGCATAGAAAAGCCAGACTGCAGTTTGCAAATCCACACAGAGACAAAGGCAGTGTAAAAAAGATTCACGTGTTGCTGATTGTGTCCGATTTCTTCAATAATTATCCTAAATTCAGATCATAAAATTGTTTAGGATCGCATTCTTCACATTGTGAGAGGAGCAGGACAGGAAAACAGGCTCACAGATGCGCGTGACGGAACTATTTTGTATTTTCAAACATTTCTACCTCAGCAGCTCATCCGTCTGTAACAAATCAAGGCCTTCAGCTTGTCACAATCCAAAACACTCAGCATCGTTACCAGGGGCAACACGTTTGCCCGGATTCACAGCAAGTAAATAAAATCCTTGTTGATTTTTAGTCAGGGCTACACTCTCCTTGTTCAGTGCAAATAGCAGTGCAGTAAATTGTGTCTGCCTCCTGTCATACAACAGCATGCTGTTTGTTTAGGATAGATAACATCACTGCATGGAGTAGTTATGAGCTGTCTGCATGTTACCTTTAGTTTGAATAATTTGGGAGGAATTCTTATGAAGAAGAGAAAATAATAAATAATGCTTTGGACATTATTTTCAGCATTTTATTTATTTTCAAAAAGATCAATACTCAGAGGGATTTGTGATATTTGATCACATTTCTCTTGCTGAATCTATCAATATGTAAATAAAATGAATTTGAGAAAGTTCAGGTATTACATACAATTTCTTGAATCTCGGAGGACGTTGCATCATTCAGGTCCAATAAAATGCCTTTTGTGGATTTTCTCCTAATTGTAAAAGATTTAACCTTCGAATAATATTTTGCTTTTTGTTTGTTTTCCAATTGTCCAGATATTGTTCAAAATGTGTTCAATAAGTGTTTCTTGAACACATCAAACTTTATGAGGTGATGATCAGCTACAAAGACTGTATTTTGTGTGAAAATATAAAAACAAATAAAAAAATACATAAAAATACCTTTAGAAAACTATTGATCAAGACCAAGACTTTAAAAAAAGTTTGGCTCTTTAGAAAGAAAGTGTTAAGAAAGGCTGAAGGTACCAAGCTGTGACATCTGTTAAATGACAACAGTGTAAAAGTGCAAAATATTTCCTTGTGCAATATTTGGTAGGATAAACATTGCAGGTATCATGGAATCAAGTTGTCTTTAAAAATGTTATGTGTAGCCAAGGGACTTTCCACTTTCCATTCTACCTCCACTAGATACAGTTTCTAGCTCAGGTAGAGTTTTGTTGACATTCAGAAGATAGAAAAAGCAGAGACGAGAGAGGAAAAAAGAACGATAATCAATTTCACCAATATTCAACGAATATATATATATATATATATGTGGTGCAACACAGGTAGGTTTCATCCAACCGTGAAAAGAAGTAATAAATTATCTTCCTGACAGATACAGTCGTACTACCTGTGGTGTGATTCTTGCTTCAGGTACCCTTCGACCTGTTCGACGTAGCTTCTACGATCCCATCACAGCACCAGGCCAAGGCTGGTTGTGGGAGTGGGAGAACAACGCTGGCAGTTGGACAGCATACGACACAGAGGTGGGCATCGCCATCCAGGCAGCTCGTGATCGACAGCAGCCCTGGCTGGACCTGGCGCCGCTGGGGTTTTGCTACCTGATTGACTTTGAAAGCATGACCCAAATCAATGGGCAGACGCAGCGCTGCCGACGGATCCAGAGACGCGCCGATCTGGCATACCCACTGGTGTCTGGACCCTTACCCAGATCCCACCATGCATGGGGACCCGCATCTATGCCCGGCTATGGCGGACTGCTCGGCGTTGACGTTTCCGGAGTAAGCATGGGGATGAGGATGAGCAGCAGTGGGATTGGAAATGGGAGCGCTTACCCAAGCGGGGCACTTCCCGCTTCGGCAATCACTTCTTTGGGACAACCCTGTGCTTGTCAACAGTGTATGTTGGTGCTAAGTCTCAAAGCGGGAACAATGTCGACTGCCCACACTCTGGGCCGAAGACCACCACAGACTAAGCCACCCAGTCCCAAATTAAGCAGCTACCCCATCCCAGGAAGCTCTTATTCTCTGACTCTCCCCCGGCCCCCATCGCTGTCATCAAGATCTCTCTCTCCTCACAGGACTTCTGGGTTTGGGGCGACTGGTGGTTACAATGTAACTGGTATGGGAGTTCCAGGAGGGATGGGGGTTATTGGTGCTGGTGGCATTGGCAGTAACACCTTCGGGTTTGGAAGTAGCTTCACACACTCGCTTTCCCTGCTCGGACCAGCTACTGCTTCCCTCTCCATCTCCTCAACTCGTCCCCCACCTCCTCCTCTCCCACCACCTCCTCCACCACCGCCTCCACCCTCTACTGCTCCCATGTCGACCTCCATCCCTCCGCCTCAAACCTCAGCTTCCTCCACCCTCTCCGTCTCCTTTTCGGCCCCCACTCATCAAAACCCAGCCGCAGCTCTCATCTCGACTGCCACCTCCACCTGCACGCCGTCGCCTTCTGCCCGTGTTCTCGGTCCAGTGTCTTCATCTGGTGCTGCTGCCTGTGCGGCCCCCTTGCCGCCGCGGTCTAGCCTTGCCGGTCTGAGTCGTCCTGCCCTGCAGCGTATCGCCATGGCTCAGTCGCGAGCACTTATTGCCTCCGGGTGAGTAGGAAAAACTTGCAATATAACAAGGTTGTGCTATGTACTTAAATTATTGTTAGATGGATTGTTTTAAGTGTTTTCGGATGTTTTCATGCACAATTTGGTTCTTCATGAACAAAATATTTGAGCCTTACTCCCACAAGGCCAATTTGGTTTCCTTTTGCAGCTGCGTTTCCTAAAAAGCTGATCTGTTTTGCAAAAAAAATGAAAACATTGCAACATACTTTTAACTGAAAATTGTATACAATTAATGTAATTTCATTTTTGATCAAAATGCAATTTTGTTTGTGGAAAAACACTGCCAGGAGTGAGTCTAGACTATAAAGGTGTTTTTGGTAAATTTGTGAATCACGTGTAGCATGAGCTAGCTATCAGTGTCAAGGTATGTTGAGGTGTTTTACAAATGCCAACATTTTCCACTTTGCTGTTCCTTTACATTTTGTAAAGTTGTTTTACAAGATGCCAGATAAAGTGCTGCAGTGGCCAACATTTTCTCGAGACATTGTTGCTTAGAGGAACACATGCTACCCTCCTGTTACTGTTACTGAGCCCTGCCAGTCAGCTGGCCTTAAAGAAAGCTACTGTACTTTAGTTCTTGCTTAAAAAAAAGAAAATTTCAGCAGAAAATCAGATTTTTACCTTCTGGGGTTTAAAAAACACATAACCTTTTTGCCACATTCTTTTATCAATTCGCACTAAACATTTTCTGTTTTAGGTCAGCAATAATTACCTAAATTATTTCTATTTGGTAAATGCCAGGGGAGTAACAGAGAGTCCCCACCCCTTTTTTTTCTCACAAGCATCAAGATTACTATGCCTATGAATAATTTGGGAATACCCATGGCTACTGAAGTTTCTGATAGATTAATTTGCAACATTTGAGTGAACTCAAATGAGTGAACTTTGAATGTAATTTAAGGTAATGCCTCAAATACTCTGCTTTCTTATTGGACATCATGAAAGCATCCTGTCGTAAATGACTGTACAAAACATGTAAATTCTGTTTATAGTTTCAGCTTTAAATGTTCTCCATTTAGATAGTACAGTTTTAGTATATGCTCAGGAAAACTGCTTTGGGAGAAGATCAGGGTGGTGAAATGATTTGTTCAGCAGATTAGGAAATGGAAAATGCGAGTTATGGATACTTAAACTATTTACCCCCATTGTTCCTGTATCGCTGAATCCCATTTAAGACATATACTATTTCACTGGGATGTTCTTTTATAAAACTCATGAACTGGAAAGTTTCACAAGTTCCAAAAGTATTCAAGATTTATTAAAGTAAGCAATACTGATTCAAAAGTAAATTTTTGGTTTTCTGTGAAATGAGTTGCTTGTAAAAAAAAAACACAAAAAAAACTGTTTCTCAACATTCCTGATAAAATTGCTATACGCTGCCAAATGTAATGAGAAGATGTGAATTTTAAAAGAATGCCCAGGAATTATGATCGCAGTACAAACAGGTTGTAGTATAGTCTGTACCCTAGGAATAAAACTGATTGAACATAGGGATTAAATTAGTATTCACAAAGCAAAATTCTGTGGATGGTGTTTTATCATGTTAGTTTTCTGTGTATAAAAATTGAGGGAGCTCAGAGAAAGAGTAAAGGAATTCCCTATTAATGAGTCCTTTGTACACAGCGTCTTGCATCAGTGCTCATTGGCTTTGGTGAGAGTTTAATCTTTGAGGCAAAGTTCAGCAGGCTTGTTCATATCCAGGAGAAAACAATGATGGCCATTCATATTGAAGGAGCTGAGTTTGCTCTCATTTGTAATGCAAGTGTTCAATAATGAAACCACTCGAAAAATGTTTGAATAGAACCAAAGATAATAAAAAGGTTAAACACTAAATATAAAACAATCATACGTTAAGGTTTGTCACCCATATTTTTTAAAATTTGACTAAAATGTTTTTTTTATTTTTTTATCAGAGTTATCTGGTCATCTCATGTGCCTTGTTTGTGTACCTAATATTTCTGTTCAGCAGAAGTTTTTAGTTAAATATAACAAGGAGTGATTTAGGTTTTTGTTTGAGGATTACCATTTACTCCACTTTCCCTGTCATTTTACACCAGTAAGCAAAAATGTTTTGGACCTATAGACTTGATTTATGTACAAAAACTCAACACCGCTAAAGTTCTACTCCCAGTCAGTGTGCAAAGGGTATTCCTACAGTCCAGTATTATTGATTACTATTTGTCTGCTTCATCCCTTGACAACAGTTCACTGTTACATAACAGTAAAGTAGAGTTGTGAAGAAAGCTGCGCTGAGCAACAAGCATAAATCCATAGAAAAGCAGTGTGTTCAATTATGTTGAAGAATTAGATGTATGTAGAAAGTAAACCATGACAAACAGTGTTCAGACCTTCTGTTTCCACCTGTTTTCCATGTTCCGAGTATGGAAGTATGGGAAAGAACAATTTGAAAAGAAAAAGTTGTGTCATCCATCCACCAATCTACCCATCCATATTCTGTGATGTTTATAACTACCTTATTTGAACCCTGACCACTGTCGAAATATTGGTCATAAATTCACACTGAACTTTTGTATGTGAAATTTAAAAAAGGAATTTCAAACTTTGAAAATTTGAGTTTGGAACAGATGTAATTTTACATGATTTATTGTCTGATTTAATGTTCCCAACTTCCTTTTTCACAGTCACACTGTGAAAAAGGAATAACCCTTCATAATAAGATGACTTTCAGGTGTAAAGTAAATGATGCCACTATCACCAAGTGCTAAAGCTAGGGGGCGCTGGTTAGTTGTCTCACTTTATTGTTGCTGTTTGAAATCAATTACCCTGTTTAAGGCTCAGGCTGTTTGGGTTGTTTATGTTGACATTTCTATTACCTCCAGAAAGTCTGATTTTAAATATAACCAAATGTTGTCTTTCACAAGAAAATATTTATAAATAATGGACAGCTGCAAAATTAAATAAATATTCAGGGCAACGAATAAAATATCCAGTTTCATTCGGCATTATTCAGATCCATGTTTTCTGCTCATGGGTGTCTGCGAAGAAGTTGCCTCAGCTGCGATCATGAATAAGAGACTACCTCATGCCGAGGATCATTTCCATGTGACCAGATCCAACTGTGGCTCAGCACAGTGACCCAACTTGCATAAATCCTGGTATTACACAAAACTAATGACACGCTACTTCCACAGCCACAGAGCGGTTAAATACAAACATGGGGCTTAATATTTTTCCCTCAGATAATCGGTGAATTTTGTGTCAGGCTCGCTGTGTGGTGGTCCTGCAGCTTTAAACCTTGCAGGTGAGAGTGTTTGTCTTCGCAGCAGATGGCCCAACCTGCTGCTGCGGTAAAACCCAGTGGAACGTCACAGATAAAGGGTGATTCCCATCACTCCAGTATTCAGCACTCACCGCTTCTATTTCTCTATTTGTAGAACCTTAGATGGTGAAGTTTCACTCTTTAAATCCATAGTTATTGTCATTTCAGGATGGTAATACAGATTGTTGGACGTAGGAACATATTTGAGTTTATTCTTTAGTAATAGTACAACCCTCTCAATATTCTCATTATTTTACTCTGATTAAATCAAGAGAGTAAATTAAACACAAAGTTCAAAGTAACATTCTCTTTTGGTGGAGCTGGTTTTGAAATGAAAAGGGATTCCTTGACCAAAATGCACATAAATACACCACCTTGCAGAAATATTTCTACCCCTGGATCTTTTTCAGTTATTGACACTTTACAACCATAAATGAGCTTTACCAAGATTAGATTTCTAGACTAGACTGGAAATACTATGTTAACAAACACAAATAAAAACTCAAAAACGTACATAAGACAAACTAAAATATTGTATATGTGCAGATTTCCTTTTCAGACTGAGGACACGCGTCCTCCTTAGGCGTGAATCTTACAAAGTGAAGCAATGTGGATCACAGGGCTCAAATGCAGAAAAGTAACACCAATGTCTAACCAAAACAAAATTATTTTAGTTATGTCTCTATTTCATAACGGGTTTGTTGTTGACTTGAACACAATGAAACATTGCTTTCAAGTTCCATTGTATTTTGCTTTTTAGTCAATAGGGGGGAAAAAATCTAAAATAATTATTCTGCAAATACAGCGAACTTGTGAAAATTGAAGTTTTTCAGTGTGAACCTTAAATGAGAATTTAGCGTATTCCATTGTCAAAGTGTCGTCTGCATTCGAAGCCGTTTTCATGGCTTCTTATCTTGTCACTTTGAGGCGGCAAATTAAACAGTTCATGAAAGATTGTCGAAATTAAAAACTTCAATCTATCTATTATGTCTGTGGTTGCCCTTGCTTGCATTGATTGGAGTTAACTTGAGCAAATGAACTGAAGATTTGTGAATTAGCATTGAAAGTATTTTAAAAAATGGTGGTTAAAAACAAACTCCATTTTAAATGTAGTTTGGTGAAGGCAGTACTGCAGTAAAATGAAACAGATGGTCTGTAAGTGAATCGTTTAAGTCCAGAGAGGGAGGAGGGGGATCTCCAGCGTCACAGATTGTCACAGTGACGAAAGTTGCTTCTGTTGTACACACTTTTGCTCTTTCGTTACGCCGGGTCTGTCGTTCCTCCATCGTTTGTCCCTCGTTGGTTGTTCTGCTCCTGTTGCCAGAGTTTATCCTTTCAATTTGAGGTATGAGCTTAGCATCTTTAAAAGCATCTGGTGCCACATATGGCATCTTGCTTATTGCCATCATCCACTGCTGCAGATGGAGCCTGCCTTAATGCTACGAGATTAGATCAGGATCAAAGCAAACGTGACTAGGTGACATACTTTTCCACTTCCTTTTCAGCTTCTTTTCCTTTCTCTGATTTTCTCGCCTCTTCTTTTAATGTTCCGGTCATATCTCAAATCTTCCTGCCATTTCTGTTTTATGCTTTATGAGTTAAATTCTCTTTGGAAAAACTCAAATCAGTCAATGAAAACAATCAAAAACATAACAATTTGACCTTCATACCTATGATTAAGTTATTCATATAAACTAAGGCACATAAATTAAGAATTTTTTTAACATTTCTAACGTTCAATCAAAATCAAAATGTCTATTTTCTCTTGCAAGTGTTTGATTTTGACAGATTGCATAAAACTATAGAGGTCAGGTGTAATAAATTATTACATCTGATGAAAAAGCTACAGAAATTGAGGTAAATGGCACTCAGTTTATGATTACAGTCTAATATCTATGAGCCCCGGAAATATTTCCCACTGGGTCTTCGTTTATAGTGATAAATACATCTAGCTGTTGCCTGAGCTCCTATCTTCCAGCCGTTCGGCCGCCTGGCAGGGTGACGTGATAATTCACAGGTAATCCCTCCCGCTGCCAATCGTTGGCCTCTAAACGGAGTTCAATCAGCAGATGGGAACAGGTGGCTTAGCCCTTTAAAAGCAGGGAGGAGAAGTAAGTCAGCAGCACACAAGCGGGGGAAGAGTGCAGCAGAGACAGAGGTGGTTCACATACTACGTTAAAGAAAGAATAACAATCCCACGAGTGGATTTTGTCGCTGGAACATCTCGACTCTTTGGTGCATTGAAGCCAGGACGATGACTGTTATTAAACATGGCAGACCGTAAGTACACACCTCAGACAGGACAGCCGGTGTTCCTCGCTGACTGTGTGACACATTGTAGTTTTGTGTGGATTTTTCACCTCATACTGAGCAGATTGCAGTGAAAGAGATGCTTATGTTGATTTAACATAAGCATCTCTTTCACTGCAATCTGCTCAGTATGAGGTGAAAA